ACGAACAATGAGGTTGAGAACGATAAAGACGTCATTCCATACTATCACTGCGTACTGTGCGATGTATACATCTCGCGCAGCTGAAGAGGTTGCCAATTGTTCGAACCCTGCGAGAACACAAAACTCGAAAGCATTCGTTGATGCACATTCGTTTACAAAAGCTGAAGCGGATAGAGTAGTACTCAAATGGATATCTGTGTGCCACTCGAAGCGATTCATCCAAAGATTAGAAGTTTGTGCACGTACAAACAAGTTACGTACCATCTGTAAGAATATATGGTTAAGCGACTTGGTAAAACCGAACGATAAACACACTGGTCATCGAACTTTAAAAGATGAAGGGCGCAGACAAGGAACAGACGACATACTAATTCGCAGCATCCGGGAAAGAAATGCGCTATCCCCAATCGCCCCAGTAACATGGTAAAAATAACATCATATTGGCTTAAGATGAGAAGACAGGGGCAAAACGCTAGCTTCATGGAAACAAACATCCCGCTAGCGCTGTGCAAGGGGAAAGAAGCGAAGGGGTATGCCGCGACAACTTACAACGTAACATGATAGAGTACACGGCCTCTGGACATCCATGAGGTCGTTCCATGCGGTAACCCTTCTCCAAAATGTGGTATACATCGTGTAGCTCCACTCCAGGATATGGTGAGAGGCCGTAAGTAGCCAGTTCCCACAATACGACACCGAAGGCCCAAACGTCCGATCTGGTGAATAGGAAAGAGAATAACGCGTACACGGTGAGGAGCAAGTAGTGCTCGAACAGGAGCGGTAGTGCTATAGTGAATTACAAAAAACAAGCTGGCCCATACTTGGATGAGAATACATAGTAGGCGAGGCCCTCGGGAGCAGTCCACTTGATGGGAAACTTTGCACCGTTCCGAGCGGTGTAAGTGTCTTGGCGTTGTACGTAGCGAGCCAGTCCGAAATCGGCCACTTTGATCAGACTGCACTCGCCGACCAGGCAGTTGCGCGCCGCCAAGTCTCTGTCACCGTACATTAGGAAAGATGCAGAGAGTGGAGATGTATTATGGTGTGCAGGGAGAAAGGTGAAATGTAACAGGTGACAAGTCCAGGCCGATGGAGAGAGAGACTAACACAGGGAGATGGGTGACACGAATGGGTGCACTACGGAGCCACACAACTGATCTGTAAACGTATTCAGATGGGACAGATTAATAATGAGACAACCACAGAAAGTAAAAGGCCAACGAATGACTGGTTCCCAATAATCCCTGCTACATGAGACATGGTTGGCGGATTTGCCTGTCACTGTGGCAAGCCACAGGACGCCTGCGCCTACAAAGGGGACCATGGGTGGCTTGCGCTGCACCACCCACAGCTCCAACCACACACCCCATATCCAGTGTAAACCCGAAGGAATAAGACCGGGAGGCATGTGGATGGAAGTCACGTTTCATCAACGGAGCCGGCCCACACTCCTTCACAGGCAAACACAAGCACGCTGTATTTGGGGAATCAAGCGCACACAAGGCGGTGGCTGGATCGCACTCCGCTCCACACTGAGTGCATGGAACCACTCTTCGAGCCTAGCACGGCCACAACGACCGTGCACCCCGTCCCCTCCAGCAACGACCAACTGTCTTCCGCAGCCAGTATGGACGAGGTAGTGGGTAATAGACAGGTAGGCACCTTGTCAACATGCACATCAAGCGCAGCCACATCGGGGATATCAAGCAACAGCCAATCACTTGAAATGCTATTATCAAATAAAATAGATCTAATAATGCATAAAGATACGGTGGCATAACTCTTCGCGAAATTAGCATATGAAGTAAGTTGGTTAGCAACGGATCCGCGATAAGGAAAAAATGTCCACATATTACTTAAAAATGCTACAAACGCAACAAAATTACCGAAGATAAGCGCAATTAGCGTAAGCAACGCGGCCAGTTAATAGAAGCTTATTCAGATAGGCAGAACAAGCAAATAAAGTGGAATGAAATTTAGCCAGCTTAAAAAGACCTAGTTTAAGTGTAAGTTGGTTTAGCCCAACTGCGGTGAAGAAGCATCAAGAATGCAACATCAGCCTCAGCATGGAGCACAACACATGAGACAGGTAACTTAAGAATATCAACAACAAGATACAGGTAAAAATATGCATTATGTACCCGGGTGGGTGCATTTAAAGTACTTTGCATCATCAAAACTGCGGATTTTAGACGTGGATAAACAAAAGCGATAAGGGTGTATTGGCATCATCAGAGTAAGTGGGACCCGCGTTCTTGAGCAACGAGCGCACATTGACAAACAAAATCCTTAGAATTTGTATTTAGGAGAAGGGCTGAGAACGGACAGTTTGCACAGCAACTAAGTTGCGAGAGAAGCACAGAATGACTGTTGTATCGCTGCCACTGGCAGTGGAGAGATCGCACTATCTACTTTAGAGACGATTCGATGTGAAATCGTTGGTTACTGATTTTATCTCACTATTTGGGCCCATTTGGGAAGCAGACTGGTAGTTGTCAACCGTCATCCCCATCTTCAGCAAGTCAGCCATGACTTTACGAGAAAACATCAGTGTTAACGTTATTGTCACTGACATATGTACTATTCAACGACGACAAAATGGTCGGTGCGGGCGCCAACACAGTAAACATGCTGTGGGATCCCACTGCGGTTGAGGGTGAAGTGGCCATATTCTTGCACTTTGCTAACCGTTGAAGCAACGAAACACATACATTCGATCCCCCATGGAGGTTTTCTGCGACCTAGACCCAGAAGACTATGTCAGCTCGTGGTAATACTCATGGTTCAAGGGGGTGACTCTGGAGACTAGGGTACACAGAAAGCTATCTCCCGATTTCCCCACTACCAGTGTGGCACGCCATAGCGCATTTTCCCTTTGACAGTGTTATTGAAATGATCACAAATAGCGCAATTCTCTCATATTTCTCCAGAGTGGAATTTCGGCAAGTGGACAAAGTGATATGGACGGGAACTGCCTTTGCATCGGACCCAACGTCTGGGAAACACCGTTGAGTAACTTTACGTGTACCGCTGTGCCTTTCGAAACGTGATCCGCACCTGCAAATTGCGAGGTTCTGTTGTAGGACTATACAGACACACTGCTAGCTCTAGCTATCTCCGAGCAACCATGGAAGTGACTAATTGGATCACCTACCTCATCTAGTGGCCACGTCACTGCGGAGACTAGTGCATACAACACTTGAGCCCTTATCGCAGCTTAAAGATTCAAGTAACAATGAAAATCTAAAAAATAAGATTCCCGCTCTGATTTCAAACTCGAGTATTAGATGTAGGTAGTGCGATGAGGCTATCAGTTGGTTCATTCGCTTCAAATTTGTAAATGGGATTTGGAAAACAAGATCACAGAAAATTAGCTGATGTCAATAGGTGGTCGCTTGGTGCGCTACATACTACCACGGTACGCTATGATAAAAGGTCCCTGTCAGTTGCTTTGTGCTTACACAGTGGTGGGTGCCGTCGATTGATAACAATGGTCTTGAGGCACTAGAGCCGATGGGGCTTTCGAATGCGGATGAAGACGGTGAACGATGTGCCGGAGTTTATCTGGTGACCAGTGTCGATTAAGTGTCACGTAACTGCTGAGGCAAACTTGCTTCTTGATCCACCGGGTACACACGGTCGTGTTTCATCCGCTTGCGAAGCCACCTATGTATACGTGACCGATGGAGGTGGTGGAAAATCAGCCTATTAAGGTATAGGGCTGCAACGCTGCGATAAAACCGATACTACAAAATGGATCAGAAACATGGTCTCTTTGTACTGAAGACCATAAAGTGCTCCTCAACTTTGATCACCGGTGGATGCGATGCGTTGTCAACATCTGCCGGGAGAATCAAGTGGATAATTGATGTTTGTAAGGAAACTACTAGACTTAAACCTTTTACTTTGGCTAGATTTTGTTTCCTGTATGCACGAGGACCATCTTAATTGGTAAGCAATAAATGCTGTCGATACACTTGGGTGGTCAAATGAGAACCTGATCGAAGGAGACTGGTCAGGCTGATGCGTGCCGTCTTCGAGGGGCGGGTTCTCCGGATGGTCCACATTCGTTTGGATACTCGAATGGGCATAGCGTAGTCATGCAGTCAGCGTGGTCTCGAATTCGGTCATTTGCAGCTACATGTGAATATTTCGTTCCAATTCATTCTAAGTGCTTCACTTCCCTCCATGCATTCCGCCTCATTTTCTTCACTACCGTCAGGATCATATTTGTTTAGATGAACGCCATCGTAAACAACGGAATCAGACAGATGGTCAAGGGGAGTGCATGAACGTGACGCTACTACACTCGGAGCGAACAAGAATCCAAAGATATTGAAGCGATCGGAGGAAAAAGGAAGACACCACTGTAATCCAAACATATGTGGGAAGATAATCGATCGCTTTCCTGTTCGCTTGGCGGTTCTGAGGTGCAGCATACTATAGACGCGACAAACACCCGGAATACGACACAAGATTTGGAGACCAACAAACGCTGTAAATCTGAGCGGAAATGAGAAACGTGACTAGACAATGGTGATGTGCCGCCAACGCGGATAGTGGGAGAAAACTGGGTTGGTTACCTGTGGATGAAATTGTTCGCTTCCAAATAGGACATGCCTGCGGCGATTTGGACAGCCATGTAGAGCAACACTGGCGGAGTCAGATCACCGGGACTGCGTCCTCGTAGATAATTGAGCAAGTTGCCATTGACCATATACTCTGTGATCAGATAGAGGGGCGGTTCGCGAGTGCAAACACCTAAAAGAAAGCGAGATGGGCTGAAAATCGAAGGAGTTTGGGCGTGGTAACAGTGGTTAAGGGAAGAGCAATCGGCAGCATTCCATTCACATCAGAGGTGCACGCGAAAGTTCGAATTCCACGGAACAGCTAGCGATGCTAGAGAGGAGGAGAATTTGGAGAACTGAACGCTGAGTTGACAAGCATGACACCGAGATGTGTGCAAGCTCCAGCGCAACAAAAAGTGAGCTTCAATTAGCCTAATCGATTGGATAACAGACCGATTTGTTGTCTTGCACAATTCGGTTCATTTGCTATGGGGGCAGTGAAAGCAGGAGGAAAACAATCGTCTTTTAGGACTGGAGGTTATGTCAATTTTGGCACGGAGTAACATGCACCACAAACGCATAACGTATAAAGTAATAGGTAGATGAAAAACAGCCACTTTTGAACCATTCGGACTATCTGCGTCGCGATCGACCCAGACTGTGGTCACTGACGAGTGGTAACAGCGGTGTGGTTTGGGGGCAGGCATCCGCGACAACGAAATTAAATTGTCGTAAATGCACGAAAAGGTGTGGTGACCAGGGTACACGCTCGCGCATCCGGACACGTAAGAAGCTATTAAGACCATGCACATGAAAATGTCCCTGTAAATCAACAAAGAAAAGAGTGTGTCGGAAAGAAGCAAGGGAAAAACAGCCGTGGGCGTTTTCCCCACCATCCGAAGGGTGCGCGGCTTCTCCCGAAGCGGGACGTCAATCAGGCTGATGAAACTGTGGCCAGCTGCAACCCAAAACTGAACGCGCCCAAGTGCAACACGATGTAGAAATCACCCGCACTGATTAGTGATTCACCTGAACCATAAAGTTAAATGTTCGATGAAGAAGAGACGAAGGCAACATAAATCCCGAGGGATAATAGTAAATGCTTGGTACAATGCGCGGAACAGTGGTTAAATTTGGTTCAGCTAATCAACTACGTTCCTAGCTCAGAGTGATGGATCCGGAAGCCACAACCGGAGCGGGTAACGATAAGAAGTAATTGATCGAATGCAATAATGACACTGGTTTCTTAAAGGAGGCGGGTGAGAGTCACTGACCTGTCCTCAAACGGGAACACACAGTTTGACTGGTTGACCCCATGCGCCTTCTCATCAAGTTATCGATTAGGTACTCTAAAAGCTGACCCAAGCCAACAACTGGAGCAATCGCAAACAGTGCATGCAGTTGTAGGCTGCCAGAGAACGGCATATTAAGGACAACAGAAAGTCTGCTTAACTATGCTCAACAGTACTTACCAAGAAATGGTGAAGTCCAAATTAGTGGGCGCATGTCAAAAGACCGCTTAAAGTCGCACCCAACTGTCTGTTGGCATCGAATCATCCCCACGTTCCGGTAGACTAGATGACTCTGTGTATGTTGCAATGTGTTGGCCTTGGATTAAATAGGTAGATGATGAGTTACGGAAATAGTAGAGGTGGGAATGCGGAGAGATTGTTAAGGTAACGCGAGCGCTCATCTCAGAAGGCCCTTATCCTTGAGGATCACAAGCCTGCCTTGTAATTTGAGGAGCCGGGTTCGCGCCTGCGTAGAGACTGGGCGACCCACACAGCATTCTTAGCCCATGTGCGACCGGTGTTGGTTGCGCGGCAGCGAAGCGTCGGTACTGCGTACCGGCGAACTGCTGGCAAATTTCTTTTTCCCTTTTTCGCAAGAGAGATCACACAAGTGACGAGTTTAAATCGTGAAATCAGTGGCGCCATCTCGTTCGGCCAGTCGACATCCTAATTGTTAACGACCCGTGCTGAGTTGAATTTGTTTGTTTTTGAGCACAGTTGCTAAATTTCCGTTTCCTGATGCCATGGGGGATGGTAGACTCATGCATTTCGATGCTCGAAACGCACATATCATTGACTTAGGTTGTACACAAACAACAGATATTCCAATGCCATGATTTAATCGATGCACGCGACTTAGACTGTGAGGATTTCGTTGCTAATTAATGAGCAGCATCTCAAACAGGAGGCACCAAAAGCATGAAGGCAATGGTCAAACAGGCAAGAGATAACAGAAGAATAGGGCATGCAATGTCACATATACGGATAGGGAATTCCAACCAAAGCACCCATCAACACACAAATCTGCCAGCTGGTAGGGTGTGTGAACGGAAAGCGAGAAAGTTGGCCTGAGATAACTCTGAATTCTGGTGGTGAGAATTTTCGTATCGGTCTCTAGGAGCCACGGCAGTGAACTACTCAGACCAGGGAACAAAGTATGAAACACGAGTAGAGTGCGGCCACAAAATGTCAATGCATCAAACGGAATACCACGTGTAATATGGCGAAGAGAAACACAAAAGATTGTGTAGATGGCTCTTTTAGAATGTACCGCATTACTGCGTGCTGAAAATGACCGGAAAAGTGCACGCCTTAATAGGGACGATACAACGTTAACAATGAAGCGGGACAGCTACAGCTCAGTACACCAGCTCGACCATTATGATCCGCACGGCGATGTGCAGCAGATTCAGATTATTTGATACCCATCGCCATGAGTAATAAGAAGAAGAGAAAAAAGTATGATGAATGAGCAAGAAGTTAATCTGTTACCTGGAACGGTTAAAGGTCGACAATGGCAGAACCGCGCCATTTTGGACAACATATCTAATCACTTACGTGAATGATCTCGGGGAGCGCACAAGACAATATCTGCTGACTCCAATTTGCCTTTCGATGAATTTCTGCATACCCTCTAGTCGTCGCGTGGACTGACCACCCCGAAGTTTTACCCCAATGGGCGAAGTATTGCCTAACGATACACGTTGATTGGCAAGTTTGCGGGCCACTGGACAGAAATAGGGGAGGTGATTGCAGTTTAACAAACACCTCAATGAGACATCAACTGACTAACCTCTGTAGTACTCCCAGGTTACACGCACTACGTCAGAGATGACAAGTACAAGTCAAACACAGCCAGTCACTAAACGTCCTCAGTCCGCAACCTACAAATCTCTGATGCACACAGTAACACTGGTCGTACCGCAGTGTTGTTAACGCTTCCAGAAACCAATACACATACACTCCCACCCTCACCATAAGTGACGGAAGCTTTGAAAACATAAACAAGCGATGAGACAATCGTAAGTAGTGACATAGATGCGTAAACCGACCGATCCTAAAAAACTGTTCGGTGCTATCTATAACTGCCGTTGGATTAGTCCAGTCCTGTGATGAAATTGTGCAATCGGAAAGTGTGAAGCAGGTGTCGAAGGGTGCAGCACGATACATCGTCTGAATGAGAAAAGCACGTCGCCCGAGTAATCAAAATATAACAGTTGGGCACCAAACAGAACTCCTACTTCATGAAAAGTGATAGGAGACAGGAGTTATGCAAGGTGGTTCTGATTAGAAAAAAAGAAATGGCTGAACAGAGTATCTCTGTGCACTACGGTAATGTGCCTGGTCGAATTCAAATGTGAAGTGCCAACACAAAGTCTCGAAAACAAGTAAGTATCACGAAAGAAAACGTGCCGAATTAGAAAGGGAACACAAAATCAGACAGTATGGGAGAAAGTAGCCAAGTAAGGTACATCCTGGACGTACTATTAAAAAAAGCTGAAAAGGAGCCATAAAGTTGGAGTGTATTGAAAACTCTGCCGGATGGATTGCACGAACGCATACTGCGCATCTAGTCGGAATGCAGACGGCGAAGTAGGCTGGGCACTTATGCATATCGTGTGAGTATCCTACACTATAGCGGAGCAAGTAGCCGTCCCGGAGATGTGTACATAGGTGACATTCACTCGTCAGATGTGCCGATAAGCTTGAAGGGTCATAATCACTATCAACCATCTACTCTTCGTCAACGCAGTGATGAGGAATGGGGTTTCTGCTCTCCTTAATGCACAAGAAAGAAACACTACACCGGGTAGGTGTGTGAGAGACTCGACAAAAGAGGTTTCGTGCAAAATCGATGTTCGCTTGTGTATGGGGGGATGAAGGCAGGAAGCCGGAAAAGTTCCACTTGCCGACAAGCAACGGCGGCGACCGGTGTCGTCGGTCTTTATCGTCACAAGGGCAAAAATGAATGAGTTTGTCCCCCCCCCCTCCATGCTGCAGTGTGGTCGCGGTCCGACGCCTCAAAAGTAGCACACACCGGATGACCACATTGTCCGAAAGAAAGGCGGTCACACAACAAGTGTGTCTCGGTAATCTTGTCAGATTAGAGTTGAAATATGATGTGGCAAGAGAATAAGCGCGTGCATGATGTCCAGGGCATTGAGAGACTAATGGATAGGGTTGATATGTTGAAGTCTGAATGAAGTGTCTCGTGTCTTGTAAAATTGACAATTTATTTCTAGTCTCGATGGAGATTTGTCACGCAAGACACACCTGGAGAAAAGCCAGACGGCTGTCCCACCCTTTCAGCTACACCGAGACTAGTGCATTCGACCAAAGAAGTTTCGTTTGTCGGTAAAGGTAGGAAAAAACAGTTGACTTAAAAATGCTTTTCACCGCCCAACCTCAGAAGCGGTGACCGCGCTGAATGATTGTTGTTCGTTGCATGCAGTCAGACGTGTGGGTGGTGCGTTAGTTAGTAAAAAAAGATAAGCAACTAGCATAATGCGGCATGCATTAGACCAACGAAGAGAGTGAGGCGTTCAAGGCATTACATGGGGCCAGAACACGGGACTCAATTCGAAAGACATAGGTGCTAGATTAAATATTACAAACATTATTGTAGGCGGATCCGATCTGTGGTGTTCAACTGTACTTGCGGGCCTCAAAAATCTGATGGCCTGCAAGCACCGGTTCTCGGCCGTGTAGAGCAGAACATGAGGGGCAAAAAACCTATCGTGGATTTGTCAGCGATGCCCACTTGGCCCATGGATTTCCGGTTTAAGCACAACCTCAAGCACGAATTTTGCAAATCCCAGTTCAAATCAAGACTCCAATATACTCAAACATTTGGTTTACGATCAGTAGTTATTACTTGGCCCGAAGCCGCTCAAGTACAGCTGGGATTAGAGTAACTGAAAACTCCCAAAGATGC